GCCCTCTCTCTGCATAGCCATGTGTGAAGCACCGCTGCCTCTGATGGAGGTTTGTTTTATCTGACTGTGTTCATTATTATTCCTCCACTAAATGAAAAAAGACATAATTTATTATAATCTAGAGATTATTAATAACAGGAGGTGAAATGCAGCTCCAGACTAGCTTTGAATGTGGTGATGTCATCAGTACGCTGCTGTTTGACCCAGATTTATTCTGCGTTCTCCTGTCCTCCCAGAGTCCAGACTTTCCTGGGTTCTTCTCTAGAACAGACTTGGCGAGGACACGAGTCCGTATTTCTAATGAATTAAAAAACAGCCTTTGTTCATTTTACAAAGAAAAACATAAATAAATAAAAAGAAATAATTTTGAAAAGTTCCGCATTCATTCTTTTCCTGCTTTGTGTGTTGAAGATGCATAAACATGTTTAAGCTGAAAGAAGTAAAGAGCTCAGTTAAAGTTGCAGCCAAACTTGTTGTTGTATCGGGGCAGAATAACAGGACAGGTGTAAAACCAACAGGTGAGATGGGAGGCTGAGAAAATGCTGATTAACGGGAAATGGACAGGAATGCAGGGAGGACGATCACTCTGTAACTCCTCGTGGGAGCGTCTGTGTGACAAGATAATAAAAAGAGCCCGTGTTGGAGAGGAGGTCAGAGTTGCTGCTGCAGGAGCAGCTGATAGCTCCTGCTGCTCCTGCTGCTCCTGCTGATCCTGCTGCTCCTGCTGCTCCTGCTGATCCTGCTGCTCCTGCTGCTCCTGCTGATCCTGCTGCTCCTGCTGATCCTGCTGCTCCTGCTGCTCCTGCTGATCCTGCTGCTCCTGCTGCTCCTGCTGATCCTGCTGCTCCCTTTGCAAGGCGAATCGAACCTTAATTGTAAATTTCATTCCATCTAAGTGACCTGCACGTGAATCAACAGACCCGGGGAAGCCAAGACGCTTTCAACACTGTCAACTGTCACGGTTGCTAAGCGACAGAGCGGAAGGCTGGACCGGTTTGAACTGGTCCAGTTTTCATGGACTTTGGAGGTCCAGGTATATGGCAAGCCAAGAAGGTCACATTTCGCTTTGAATTGTCGCGTTAAGATTGAAGTTAACCCGCAAAAAACGCGCGTTCTCCCGAGATTACGCCACTTTTTACGTCGTCTTTTACCAACAAGCGCCGCCTTTTACGCGCATCATGAGAGTACGGCAAGAAGCGCGTTAAATACATGCGTTGTGACCGACACAACGCGCGTATTTAACGTGACCTTCTTGGCTTGCTATAGCCATACAGGTAGGCCGGGTCCCTGGAGGAAGCAGGAGGAAGCGTTAAATACGCGCGTATTTAACACGCGTCTTGCGGTACTCTCATGATGGGCGTAAAAGGCGGCGCTTGTTGGTAAAAGACGACGTAAAAAGTGGCGTAATCTCGGGAGAACGCGCGTTTTTTGCGGGTTAACTTCAATCTTAACGCGACAATTCAATGCGAAATGTGACCTTCTTGGCTTGCCATAGCCATACAGGTAGGCCGGGTCCCTGGAGGAAGCAGCCCGTAAATTTGAAGGCAGCCTTTGATTTGGCTTCATGTTGTCATGATGATGACCTTTAGGTGCCCCCCCCCCCCCCCTTGGAAAATCCTGGATCCGCCCCTGATAAGGTCAAACTTCTGGACTCACCTGTCTGTCCAGGAAGAAAGGGGGAGGAGCCTAACATCAAGGTGGATCCCAGTAGAAACAGGGAATGATGATCGATTATTCAGGCGCTCAGAGGCAGAATATCACAGTCCTCTGGTTAATGGAGGCTGAACCCAGCAGGCTGCTGGACCAGAACCAGAACCAGAACCAGAACCAGCTTTGGACATGTTTTAGGTAGAGAATAGAAGAAATATCTTTGATTAATGATTTAATGACTCAGAGATCCAGTTCTGAGGTTCGGTTCCGTCCAGCTGTCCGCCCTCAATCAGCCAAGATCCAATAATGACGTCACCTCCACGGTCAGGGAGCCTTAGCAACCAGCCGTTACCATGGGAGACATCTCCTCCCCCGCGCGCGCACATATACACCTGTAACCCTGAACCATCGTCACCGCGAGCTCCATCAGAACCGGCGGTACCGGCTGGTTCTGGTGACTTACCGTCGGTCGGTCCGCTCCTGGAACGGCTCGGTAACCGGTTCGGTCCGGTTTGGGAGCAGGTAACCCTGGTAACCAGCGGAGATGACTGATTCTGGTCGCGAGGCTTCTCTCTCTCTCCGCTCCGGGGGCGGGGCTTAACCACAGGGGGCGGGGCCAATGAGATGGAAACAAGAAGAAAAAAACCAAACGGATGAGATGAGAGGCTCCGATCAGAGGCTAACCAGTTTAACCAGTTTAACCAGTCCACAGCAGCGTCACCAGGCTCTCTAAATGAATCCAGCCTGAACTGATCATAGAGCTATAAAGGGGCGGGTCCAAGATGTGAGCTGACCAATCAGAGCCCTGAGCGCAGTTTTTCCTGAAGAATAAAAACTCATCAGTTTGATGAAGGATTAGAGATTTATTGTCCTTCTTTTACGAGAATAAAGTCATAAAA